GTTCTTCACGAAGTATCGGCGTTTCGCGTCGGTAAACGATACCTTCTCCGTCACTCTGATCTTTTTGATCTCCCTCTCCCTCAGATATGTAGGGCACCTGTTGGAGTTGGCCGCATGGTCACTCCTTCGCAGTTAACACAGCAACGCAAAGTCCTAGTGATTCCACCACTCTCTTACATAGGTTAGGAGTAGGTGAATGGTCACTTCCAACTGGAGGCCCTTGTTTTTGAGATTTTTTCGATTTTCTCATTGGTGCTTGCTTTGAAGAGAATGGGACCATTCCTCTGACGCACCACCGCTTGGAGTTAACCGAAACTGTCCTCGATGGCTAGTGCAAGACGAACAGCACTAGTACTTCTAAATGTTTTTCTTTGTGTGCACGCCATCAAAAGTAAACGTGGTTTCTTTGGTTTATCTTCTTCCCTAAGAACAAAACCACTCAAATCCACCGTTCACTCAAATCATCGCCTCTTCATTCCGGAAGAGGGCAAGGGATTTGTTTTATGCTCCATAGAATTGAAGCGGATTCGTCTCCGTGCTCCCCAGCCACCACGGAGTCCAACAAGGGGACACCCCACTGGGGTGCCAGGGTTGACACGAAGATATAGTGGGAAGGTGTCACAGAGCTGCCCCGCCGTAGAGTCCCCGCTCACCCTGGAGATCAGTACAAGGCCTAGTCCGAGCCGATTGATCGGGAGTGGGTTAGCGCCAGACTGCCCGTCTAGAAGAGTCCGAGGCCAAAGCAACTGTGTTGCAAACCTACAAGGAATGTTCCCTAAAATACGTAAACAACGTATCCCTAGGTGCAAAGCAGAAAGACGCACAAACAAAGACTTGGGAAACAAACAGGTCCCTCAACTGCCGGGACACACCTTCCCTCCGACACGGGTCGCCATGCACTGCAAACACATGGGTGGGCGTTCTGCATACGGGGGACGCACGCCATCCTATTTTCGGCATTGCAAGTTCAATAGCGGACAGCGACAGCTTGTGACATTCCAGTGAAAACTGTTAGACGCATTTTGACGACTTCCAAATCATCTCTTGATGCTTCGGGATCCGTGTTTCTAAAATCACCTGGGATGTTTCCCAGGAAATCACGTACGGTAACAAATATGGACTATTTTAACAAAACGATAGTGCGGAGGACTCTATTAAAATTTTACGACTAAGGTAAATACCCTACTGCAGAAACATTAACATTAAAATAACATTAAAAATTTAACATTTAAATATTTTTTTAAAGTCACGTAGGGTCCGCCGGGACTGGAGTTATACCTCGAGCAAAACTTGTTTTCCTCTCCAAAAATTCAAAGAGTGTGAATTACCACTCAGAAACGAATGCAGTCTCGTTCAGATAATGGTTCAAGAACAGCTCTCTCTGCCTTACCTGCATCCAAATTCAGTAGTTGCTATGGACAACGCTCCTTATCATTCCATGATTTTAAATAAGGCACTGAATTCATACATACGCAAGTCAGAAATATGTGCTTGGCTGCAGAAGAATGGGATTAACTACGACTCATCCCTGATCAGAGCAGAATTACTCCAAATGTGTAGACTTCACGCCAGTCCACGAAAGCAGTTCGAATTGAGACGAAATTGCGAAAGCAATGGAAAAACTGATACACGAGGAGATAGATCATGTGGCGCAGATTGGGCTTCGCACGTGCGCCACGTCGAAATTCTGCAAGACGAAGATTTTGAGGAACGACATTATGGACCCAATAATTATACGTGCGAATAAGAGTTCGTCAGAAGAAAGTTGCGATGACAGTGACAGCGCAGACTGCGCTGGTGACGAAGACGTCTTCCTAGATTTGTAATAAAAAGAAATGTTTTTGTATTTTAGATAATTTATTTCACTTTATATTATATCATGATACGAAAGTTATAAATGTGTTAATTTTCTACCCTGTACATCCCCCCCCCATGATTTGATTCACATGTTAATACTTACATAAATTCTAATTTTTTTTATTATTTACTATATATTTTTATAAAGTAAAAATTGAACAGTTACAAATATTCACTTCTGGTTCAATATCAACGACTATTGTGTTTGCCCCTGAGCGTAACATGGAATAAAAGTTGGGGAGTGAGAGGGGGCAATGCACAATGTATTCAACTTACAGCATTCGGAAGATGCAAATAAAACATAAGTCTTGCAGTTAACATTATGTTATACATTTTGAAATAAAAGTAATATTTTAAATATTTTATTTATTATACTGTATTGTTTGATATAATTTTAGTTTAAAGAGAGAATATCTTAAATATTTCAATTATTGTACTATATTATCTGATACCGTTGAATGGGTGAAAACCAGAACGGTAAAAGTGAGAATTTATAAATTCTGTAAAATCTGTTAATTTAAGTCAATATTACTGTAAAGTCGTAGTGTTTTGTTCATCATTAAAATCACGGCATTTCAATTGTTCATTAATCCCACGAAAATACATTGTCACTGAAATACAGCATAAAATAAAGACGTTTTTCTCAGAATTTATAAAATGTCACTTATACCATTGTAGATGTCACCCATTCAATTGTAGTTTAAAGAGAGAATAGTATCACAAAGAAGTCAATAACTAATAATGCAACAAAAATATGGCTTCTAACAAGTGAATTGTTTTAAAATCTTGTCAGAAATATTGCCTCTAATTGTTGTGAACTTCTGGAGGTAAAGAGGTGTTAAGACCCTTTCTTAGAAATTCCTAATGACGGATCTACCAGAGAAAGAGAGTAACCAGAAATTTGGCAATGATGCAGAAATATGCTCCCTACCCCTCTGCGCGACAATGGGACTTCCAGTTTGGCAGCTAGCATAGTTGAGAATTACGATCCGAAGAAAAACAGTTGAGTACATAGGAGGCACATTAATGTTCACTTCAAGTAAGACATTGGCTATATAAAACTTTCCGGCACAAAGAATGTAACAGGATTGGAGTGTTTTCTGGGACTAACTGAAAATTTTCTGAAATTTATACACAATTACACTGCAATTGCAAAACCATTAACAAATTTACTTCGGAATGATCAAGAATTCCGATTTGGTGTTGAACAAAGATATGCTTTTCAAAAAAGTGAAGAATTGTCTGTTAGCCATCAGATTCTATGTTGGAAATGTACAATCAGAAGTACGAAACTGAACTCCAGTTTAGGATTCGTGGACTAGACTGAGCAAGAAATTCGAATTGTGGATCGAAAAACCAGAAAACTGCTAACAAAGCATCAAGTCACCCAACTTCTAGCTAATGTTCAGAGACTGTGTGTCACGTAAGGGACGAGGAAGAGGCCTCAAACAAATTGAAGCCTCCTGGCAAAATGCAAGTAGGGATGGGAAAGTATCTAGTCAGTCATCAAGATGACCCTCAAATAAGGTAGGTCATGAAATCTGACCGAAGAATGGGAAACAGAGGCATTGTTAGTGTAGCAAGAAGCACTGCAAAGATAACTATGCAAGTCACGCAGAATAACACACACTGAACTTTCGATCTGCTACTAAACATGAAATGTGTCACAAAAAAGGTTAAAGAAATGGAGAGACAAACCACTCTATGGACAATATCTAAAACGAGTGTACAAAGTGCACATCAATAAAGATCGGAAGGAGTTCTAATAGCTGCTCGGGATCAGGCGTTGAGAACACGACATTATGATAAAGCAGTTTTCAAAATAGATAATAAATGTCGCATCTGCCAGGTACAAGTAGAAACCATTGATCATATCGTCTCAACTTGTCCAATTTTCGCAAAGACCAAATATATGCAAAAGACACGACGGGGCGTGTAGTTACCTCTACTGGCAGATCTGTACCGTCTTCGAAGTTCCAAACACATGCCCCAAGTAGTACAAACACTCACCAAAACCGGTGACGTCTGTTGGACTCTATACAATATTCTACGACCAACAAATTCAAATGAATCGCGCAATAGCAGCAAACAAAGGATATTGTTATCCGGGATTAGGAGAAAAAATCGCGTCTACTTGTAATGTTGCTGTTACTTGCGATCAAATCGCCATAAATACAAGTGTTTGGAAATCCAGATCAGCCGAATGCGAGGGCGTAAAAACACAGGTTGTACCAACAGTCATTGGAGCTCTGGGATTTGTTGCGCAAAATATTTATAAGAACTTGGCTAAACTCTCAGGTCATTCAAAAGACAGAAGTGCAAGAAATTGCTTTATTTGGAACAGTCCATATTTTGCGCAAAGTACAGTAGAGGCACAGTCTATGTCTGCTCCTTATATAGCTGGTTGCAACCTAGAGATGATTTTATATTCAGCCGATTTTAAATTCAACATCTTAGTCGTGTTGTGGAGGGGAAAAATAACGTTAGAGCTTACCTAAAAAAGCAATTTTTAGCTCATTTTCAGTGGAAATCTTGAAATATTGACAAATTTCATCAAAAATCATTTGAAGCCCTTGTACTCACAAATGCAATAAATTATTTAAAAAAAGCCTCTAGTGAGGAAAAATACCAGAGTAATTTTTGAAAAAATTAAAAAATGTATATCAAAATTTATGTGCATCTATTATTATCTTTTATGTGCAAAGACACTACTTGAAATACCCTTAAGTAAGGAGAAAATGTAATTTTGTATTGATGCATTGATTTCAATACCACAATAGAATAGAGGGGCAATGCAAAAACTACCTTTAATAAGTATTGCAATTGTAGGAAGATTCAGAAAATCATTTAACCCATCCCATTTTTAAAAATACGGAACAGTGGTTGTCGGAGGGAGACTAAGCAATTTTCAAAAACCTCAGAGATTTCAATGAAAACAAGATCTGTTCAAGAAATCTCAGTTTTGGTGAAAAATCCTGTAAATGGTTTAAGCACAATGAAAGGGAGCAACATAAATTACTTTGCATGCAAGATTTACAAACATCTGTTATATATTCATTACCTTCTCTCCCCCTATTAAAAGAAATTCATTATATAATACCCTCAATGAAGCACTTTTCAAAGAAATTAAGCAATTAACATACCTGTCCTTGGCAGATGGGCATGAAAGTAAATTAATTCTGGAGCACAAGCTTGTAAGAAGAGGTTGCAGTTTTTCCAACTGGTAGTTGTTTGCTATCAGTGGTTTAGCCATCAACCTTTCAATTTCTGACACAACCTGAAGATAATCCCACAAAATTTGTCCTCCACTATTCCAACCAGATATGGAATTAACAGGATCTGCTTGAACTAGAGGTTCCAACAAACGTTGTAAGTACTTGTAGTTTTCTAAAATACACAAACACATTAAACAAAATTATTAAGGTACTATTTTAAAACAGCTAATTAAATGAAAATGAAGGCAATTTTATAACTGTAAGAAGAAAATAAGTGTTGCTGTGCATTGCCTTATTAGCACTGTCAATCTTAAGGATGTGTTGGATAAGTCTACTTCATTTTACTGATATATCCCACGAGTATGTTACATGGTCTTCAACATTTATCTTCTTCGCAGACATATACACCTCTCAGATGGTCGTAGGTGGCTAGAATAATGCTTTACACAGACACAAATTGGTGGCAGGAAAATCGTCAATTTGTGCTTCTATTCATTACCAGTATTTGCAATTTTTTTTTATGAAAGTGAGTATACGTTTATACTTGCTTGTATTGTTGATCAGATGCATTCAGAAGGTGGTCTTTTGTAACTAGTGTTCGTGCTGTAGTGACACCTACAGATGTTTAAAATGTCAAATTCACAGAAGCTATCAAATTTAAAATTCAAGATTATTTGAATAGAACTGGATTCTTCGGACGAGAATAGCAATTTTCTTCCTAACCTGTACACTAGCTTGAGCAAAGAAAATGATAGTGAAGAAAGCGAAGATGATGCCAGTTAGGAAAGGCTCCTCAAAATCAACTGATTGCTCTTTCTTTAGAATGGTGTGAAATTGATGAACAATCAGATTCAGTGCTTGAGAAAACTAGTAAAATAAAATACAGTGTAACAATTATTCGTTTTGCATATATATGTTTTTCACCTTTATACGTTGCTTTTTGTAAGTCCGGATAAATTCTTAAACTTTCCACCCCATGTTAAATTATTTAAAATTGCGTTTTTCGTTTATACGTTTTTCACGCTTATACGTTCATAGGGAGTTCGTGCTAGGCGTAAGCAGATACACTAAAACTCTTGATCACGTGACTTCTGGCTTTATACTGTCGTAATGAACAACGTTCAGAAGGATTTTAGCAACTGCGACATTGCATTATGCATTATAACAAAGGAAGCATTACAATCATTGAACAGAGAAATTGCATAATATATCAAAGAGTGTAGAGTAGAAGTGAGACATTTAAAACACGTTACGAGTCAACAGAATAACAACAATTCATTGTGCACGGAGTTTTAGAATTTGTGGCCCTCCGTGACGAGTATGCTATCTGGAATTTTGAATCGGTTTTTCTAGAAAGTTAGGAAACATCTTAAAACAGCGTTCGTTATGAGCAAAAGTCATAATCAATCCCGAAGATATGATTTGAACTTTTTCGCGAATTTCTTTCCTCTCATCTCTCCAACATATCCAGGTATTTCTTGCCAGCGTTGTGGAGTCGTAAGGAATCGTAACTGCCTCACATTTGAGAAACGGTTTATCCGAGTTGGAAAAATTCAACCACCCCTGTTTATAGGCGGCCATTTTGCCGCTGAGACTCCTACAGGCGTACACTATGAAGGTATCGTATCTTAGGCCTAGGGTAAGACGATATGACTTCAAGGTCCGCCACGTGACTGTTGGTGCATAATGCCGCTACCTTATGCGTGTCGCTAAATATCCCTAATGATAGTCCCTGTAAGACCGTATAACGCCCAAACTATAACGACATATATGCCCAAAAAGTGAGAACGTTTACGTTATCGTAGAGCAATCCAATTCCGAATTCAAGTTGTTTAATTTCGACGCTACACAGGGCGTTTCAACTGGTGTCAACTCTCCATTTTGAAATTTTGGGACAAAATTACAGGATGAAAAAAATAGGGTAGCTAGTGTCTCCCAGTGCGACTTTGGATAATGTTCACCAACATTGTACGATAAAAAATCGGCGCATTTATAGGAAACTCGAAGGAAGCAAAGATTTATAATGACATTGAGGCGTGTGTCGCACGATGGTTGCATTGACGCGTAACACCTAATGTCCTGCTGATGTCAGTTGCGTCGACGTGAGTCGATGTCTGCGCACACGAGTCATTAAACGCGCTTCGTACAGTAGTAGTAGTAGTAGTAGTAGTAGTAGTAGTAGTAGTAGTAGTAGTAGTAGTAGTAGTAGTA